GATCTCAGCTCACTGCAAGCTCTGCTTCCCGGGTTTACGCTATTCTCCTGCCTCAGCCTCCCAAGTAGCTGGAACTACAGGCGCCCGCCACCTCGCCCGGCTAGTTTTTTTGTATTTTTAGTAGAGATGGGGTTTCACCGTGATAGCCAGGATGGTCTCAATCCCCTGACCTCGTGATCCACCCGCCTCAGCCTCCCAAAGTGCTGGGATTACAGGCGTGAGCCGCCACGCCCGGCAAAATAGCAGATATTTTTAAAATGATGTGACGAATTCAGACCCCCGTCTACCGCACCGCCTCCCCATTAAACCGCGCTCTTGCACCTTTCAAGTCTTCCTTACTGGTGTGCTCCCTACCTCCCCGGCTTATCGAAAGAGGTCCCCCAAACCCCGTTCCCCAACCGAGTCCTGCAGTAACAGCTGCTCAGGACCGGGCAGAGACTGCTTCTGGGTGCTGTTGCAAAGGGGATGGGTTGTGAGTTGGAGCCCATGTTCAGAGACTGAGTACCCGAGTGGAGCCATTCCGACCAGCCCTGACAGAAGCAGAACTCTGAATATGCTGGTTTTACCTACATCAAAGGCTCCAAACCGGAAAAGACAAATACTAACTGGAAAGCATTATATGACATTTTGTGTATTTACCGTCTTTTCCGCTAGACAGTAAGCTCCACAAGGGCGGGGCTCAATAAACATCTACGAGTGACTTAGACGAAAGGACGTGCTGGGCACACCGCGGGGACTAATCGCGTTAGGCCCCTCTCCAAGGCCTATGATCCCCACCGGCAACTCGCCGCTCCCGAAGCTGAACTCCGCGCCGGGCCTAAGGTCGGGCACCCTCCGGCTGAGGTTCACGACACACCCATCTTCCCCTCCCTCCGCCAGGGCCGGCTCGGGGGCCCGTTCCCGCCTCGCGCCCCAGCCCCAGTCGAACCCGGCCTGCACCTTCATCCCCAGGACGTCCCGATAGAAACGCGCCGTCTGGAAGCGGTTTCCCACTTTGAACACGAAGTGCAGAGCTCTGCGAGCAGCCATGACTCCCGCGCACGCAGCCGCCACGCGCACGGTACCGCCCCGCCCACGACGGACGCCCCGGGCCGTGACGTCACTGGCCGCCGACGGCGCGCCTTGGTGACGCAGCCCGGGTCTCAGGGAAGATGGCGGCGCTGGTGAGACCCGCGAGGTTTGTCGAGCGGCCGCTGCTGCAGGTGGTGCAGGCTTGGGACCTTGACGCGAGGCGCTGGGTCCGGGCGCTGCGGCGGAGCCCAGTGAAAGTGGTGTTTCCTTCCGGAGAGGTGGTGGAACGGAAGCGCGCTCCCGGGAAGCAGCCCCGCAAGGCAGCATCTGAGGCCGGTGCCCAGGAGCAACGAGAGAAATCACCGCTTGAGGAGTCCCCATCCCACGCTCCCAGCACCTGGGAAGAGTCTGGGCTTCGCTACGATAAAGCTTATCCCGGGGACAGGAGGCTGAGGTGATGTGGGTCTTGAGGCCTGTCGAATGTTCTCGTTTCCCTTCCCGCCTCACAGCGGAGCCTTAACCTCCTTCTCCCGATGGAGGACTTCTTCCAGTACAGCCCGCTGGCTTTTGTATTATGCACAGAGGGCCGAATACGGGTCTTTGGAATTAGCTTCTGTTTCCCCTCAGCTCTTTGTTGTTGTTTTTGTTTCACCATGTTGGTCAGCCTGGTCTCGAACTCCTGACCTCAGGTGATCCGCCCGCCTCGGCCTCCCAAAGTGCTGGAATGACAGGTGTAAGCCGCCGCGCCCGGCCCTCTCCTTAGCTCTTTATTTCTGTTACAACTAAGCGTGTCTCGGTAACAAGGATGTTGATAGTTACCTGTTTGTTTGTTTTTTCCATCTACAGCAGTGTAATGACAATAGTAAAGTCCAGGCCGTTTCGGGAAAAACAAGGGAAGATCCTCCTGGAAGGTCGCAGGCTCATTACAGACGCTCTCAAAGCTGGAGCTGTGCCAAAAATGTTCTTCTTTAGCCGTCTGGAATACCTAAAGGAGCTGCCAGTCGATAAGCTGAAAGGTGTCAGCCTCATTAAGGTGAAATTTGAGGATATCAAGGATTGGTCCGACCTCGTAACACCACAAGGAATAATGGGTCAGTGATTATTACACAGTGTATCTTTTTTTTTGTCTTGCTCTGTCACCCAGGCTGGAGTGCAATGGCGCAATCTCAGCCCACTGCAACCTTCGCCTCTCAGGTTCAAGGGGTTCTCCTGCCTCAGCCTCCCGAGTAGCTGAGACTACGGGCACCCACCACCACGCCTGGCTAATTTTTGTATTTTTAGTAGAGATGGGGTTTCACCCTGTTGGTCAGGCTGGTGTCGAACTCCTGACCTCAGGTGATCCTCCTGCCTCTGCCTCCTAAAGTGCTGGCATTAAAGCATGAGCCACTGTGCCCAGCCTTACGCAGTGTATCTTAAGGTGTGGAGACCTAGGATTAATTTCTCATACTTGTCTTAGGACAGCAGATTTCATTGAAATGAAATTCAAAATGTTACAATTAGAAAAACATAATTCTCAAACCTGTGTATCTTAGAATATTTTCAATGGAAATTGAAACCCGTTTTTCACTATCATTTGTGTTGTGGCTCTTTATAATCTCTAGGAAGAACCACTATTCCTCAAACCTTGTATTTTTTAGATTACGTCTTCAACTTTTTATGTCAGATTAAAACTTAAGAAAATGTTTACTAAAAGAATTAGCCCTTCATTTCCGCAAAAACTCTGCTGATGTGGTGATAACTGTTAATAAATTCCTTATTCTAGAAGCAGATCTAAGAAGTGAGGTATAAGCCATAATATACTGCCCTGTTAAGCCCAATAAACGGAGAACCTTGTCTTCTAGTCTGTTTCTTCATTTGGCTGAATCTAACTTAACCTTATTTAATGTCGATTAGCAATTACAAAGTCTTTGGTCTAAATATGAAAAGATAAGTTCTTCATACGTTTTTGACATTGGAGTTTTATTTAAGATATGAAAACTGGGCCGGGCACGGTGGCTCAAGCCTGTAATCCCAGCACTTTGGGAGGCCGAGATGGGCGGATCACGAGGTCAGGAGATCGAGACCATCCTGGTTAATACGGTGAAACCCCATCTCTACTAAAAAGTACAAAAAACTAGCTGGGCGTGGTGGCGGGCGCCTGTAGTCCCAGCTACTTGGGAGGCTGAGGCAGGAGAATGGCGTGAACCCGGGAGGCGGAGCTTGCAGTGAGCCAAGATCCGGTCACTGCACCCCAGCCTGGGTGACAGAGCCAGACTCCATCTCAAAAAAAAAAAAAAAAAGATATGAAAACTGAACCCTTGAACTGTTGGGAGAGGAGATTCTGGGGGACCGTCTCTTGTTTCTGTAATCCAGTGAGTCACAGGGATCTGTGCCTCTACAATCAGAACTCTTAGATCCTAGGATGGGGACTTGGATTACTAAAGTACCTGGAATTACTTATGCTAAGTAACCATATTCTCACTAGATACAGCCCTCTAATCCACACTCGATGCTTCAGTGAACATGTCATTCATTTTTACTGAGCTTTTCACTTTGGGCACGTGTGCTAACAGTGGCCATCCCATCTTGAACTTCATCATTATACCTGCTTTCATCATTTCCTGGCTTTATAATTTTTACATTATTTAGCTTATCCTTATGTTACTGTATTTTAGATTTGAGGGCAAGGAATAAGGGAGAAATGGATAGGAACTGGCAGCACCTGTCAGGCTTTAGACAGACACTCTCCAGAATCCCGTGAATCCCGTGACGTAAGTAGGGTCTCTGTATGGTGGGTTCTTATCACCACAGACATTGAAGTAGACGTAAAGGACTTCTAAGATCCCCTGCCCTACCGAATGGCTTGTGGCCATCTGTGACTCGGAAGTGGAGGCTCCCTCACAGCACACAGACGCCTAATACCCTTCCATTGCCTTCAGTGGTGGGTAGGCTTTTTACCTGCACTGTCTTTAGAAAGAATCCTAAGTCTTTGATTGTATCATTACAAGTACTATTGATTGTTTCAGTACAAGTACTACTTCATCTGACTTCAGTCAGTAGCCCATTTATTGGAGCAATTATATATGACAAAATACTAGTAAGATTCAAAAAAATCTGTACAGTCCCTTGGGAGCAGACTACAAAGGGTTTGAATATTTGATAATTATACATAAAGAGTTCAAGGTAGTGCTTGGCCTAAAAAAAAATGTTTACTAAAAGATTTATCTTTTACTAAATGTTTACTAAAAGGTTATCATTATCACCTCTACCAGGAAACATGGTGATTCAAAAAGAAACTTGTGGATATGTGATACATCCATGTGAATAACTTCGTCTATACCACAGAAATCTCATGTGCTCTAAAGCCATTTTTAATACTGTTATTAGCCTTTTTCCAGTTTTTCTCGCTTCCCATAAATTCTTTCCATAAAACTTTAGAGATTATTACAATGTAGAGATTATAATGCAGATTAGATAATGTAGATTATTATATAATGTATATATAATTTTATAATATAGAGATTAAATAGAGAATTTTCCACTATGAAGGCCACTTGGGGTTTTCATTTTCCCAAATAGCCCCAGACTCCATTTTACTCTTTTGTATCAGACTGAGGACAGAGAGGTGACCGGTAAGTGGCTGTACCCATTCGGTAAGTGGCTGTACCCATTCTAAAGCTCCCAGGCTTCTGTACCTCCAGCGTGAGGCCTTACAAGTGACTCAAGCGTTCACTGCACTCACAGCCCCTTTGTTTTGCAGAGTATGTCCCTAAGACAGTGCTTCCGAGCCAGTGTATTTGAAAAAGGGGTCGTTACTTTGATGCGTTCAAGTTTTGAAATTCAGATTCTTTTTCCTAGGAATGTACTTTTAATTTTAAAATGTGTGATAAAGGTCAGATAAATCAGAGTATAGCAGGCTAATAATTGTTTTTTAAATATTTAAGTTAAACCTACAAACTGTTTCTTAAAAGCCTACCTGGTAGGAAGGAAGATGGGCACAGGTTATAGAAACAAGACAGTTAAGGGAGCACAGGAACTCACTGAAGAAGGTCGCAATCGGTCAGTAAGGTGTTTAGCTTCTCTAGTAATCAGGGAAAAGGCAAGTTAAAATAATGGCATGCCGTTTTTCCTGTCACACTGGGAAAAATGGAAACAAGTGATAGACCCTCTGTTGAGAAGGGTTTGGGCTGGAAAACAGGTTTTGTTTTGTTTTTTGTTTTTGTATTTTTATTAGAGACGGGGGTTTCACCATGTTGTTCAGGCTGGTCTCGAACTCCTGACCTTGTGATCCGCCCACCTCAGCTTCCCAAAGTGCTGGGATTTTAGGCGTGAGCCACCGCGCCCGGCCAGAAGCAGATATTTATGAGTTCCTGATGTGAATAAACGGAAAGAGCCCGTGTGAACGTTCAGAGTGCACACACATCATTTGTCCATTTCACTCAAGGTATTTATGCTAGAGAAATATTTAGACACATGGACAGACAGTCCTACGGGGATACCCATTGCAGCATTATTTGTAACAGAGAAAAATTCAAATAATTTAACAGTCCATAGGGGAAGAGCAAAATGAACTGAGGTACATTCATACTACAAAACAGGCTGGGCGCGGTGGCTCACCCTGTCATCCCAGCAGTTTGGGAGGCTGAGGCGGGCGGGTCACCTGAGGTCAGGAGTTTGAGACCAGCCTGGCCAACATGGCAAAACCCTGTCTCTATTAAAAATACAAAAAATCAGCCGGGTGTGGTTGTGGGTCCCTGTAATCCAGCTACTTGGGAAGCTGAGAGGCAGGAGAATTGCTTAAACCCGGGAGGCACAGGTTGCAGTGAACCAACATTACACCATTGTACTCCAGCCTGGGCGACAGAGTGAGAATGAGACTCTGTCTCAAAAAAAAAAAAAAAAAAAAAAAGGCCTACAGCAGTTAAAGGAAAAAAGTAGAGTCAAACATACTGACGTGGTAAGTTCAAGATATGTTGTTACGTAAAATAGGTTACAGAATAATACAGAGTATGACACCTAATGTAAAAGAAATACATTTATATATGGACAGGTGTGTGTATATATAGGTAGATACATAGAACAAGTTCTAAAAGGATACACTGCAGGACAGTTGAGGGGAGGAGAGTGGTAATGGTAGAATTTTATGTTGTTTGAATTTTGCCAATCAGAATGTATTGGTGTTTTTATTATTTTTTTTTTTAGAGGGAGTCTCACCGTGTTGCCCTCAGCCTCCCAAGGAGCTGGGACTAGAGGCACGCGCCACCACGCTCGGCTAATCTTTGTATTTTTATTAGAGACGAGGTTTTGCCATGTTGGCCAGGCTGGTCTCGAACTCCTGACCTCAGGTGATCCACCTGCCTTGGCCTCCCAAAGTGTTGGGATTACAGGCGTGAGTCACTGCACCTGGCCCGTAGTCATGTATTTTTATGTAACTAAGACCATATAAAGATTGATAAGTAAATGAAAAGTCAGACTATTCCCCGTGCCCACACCAGGCAAGTAAACCATCTATTTTGTTTCCTCAGGGATTTTTGCCAAACCTGACCATGTTAAGGTGGCATCTGTTTTGTCTCCTCAGGGATTTTTGCCAAACCTGACCATGTTAAGGTGGCATCTGTTTTGTCTCCTCAGGGATTTTTGCCAAGCCGGACCATATCCATGTTAAGTTGGCATCTGTTTTGTCTCAGGGATTTTTGCCAAACCTGACCATGTTAAGACGGCATCTGTT